TAAAACTTAAGCAACTAAAATTGAAAACTAAATAAATGATATGTAACTTTTTTTCCAAAATATAGCTATAGTGACAATTTTTTATTAAAAAAAAATAGGTAATTTATTCGTTAAAAAAAACCTAATGATTTTGCGCAACATTACTGACCTAAACTGGCCAATTTTTTTATTACCATTCCTTAAAACCTTTGGGACAGAAATTTTTTGATCTTGATTTTGCTAAATAAGCCAATTTTGCTATAAGGTAAAGATCTGACAAAATACCCTTTATTTTTGATTACAGCAACCAATCTTTGAGATGTTTTGGTGTATGTTTGAAGGTTACACAGTATCAATAAAATGCTATATATGTGGTCCTTCACATTTGTATAAACAAATCTGTGTGTTCATTATATCCTTACATACTGAACCTTTGGGAATAAGTTATGTCTGTTTGTTTGTGAAACTCTTTTGATTTTGCTATCAAGCAAGCAATCTGGCTTTCCGATTCAGCTTTTTTAATTATTTAATACTTTGTACACTTTCGTCGCTAATTAGTTTCCAACCGTTACGAATTTTATACCGTCCGGCCTTAGAAAAAACTCTAACTTCTTTTTGAAAGGAATCTTAGCTTCTGACCTGACTACATTCGCTCCAAATGAATTGTTGATCATTTTAATAAACTTCAAACTGCTTCCTGTTTAATTTTTTATTTAAAAACTTCAATTACAAAAATTGGCATTCTAAGTGCAATATGATGTCAAATAAGAAGACTTTTAAAATAATTCCACCAAGGACACCCTTTCACACTTCAGCTCACACAAAACAATTGCTTACAATATTATTTTTTTAGACCTACAACTTCTAAGTACCTTCTACAATGAGCTTCCGATGAGCTCTGATTGAAAAATGAAAACGAAAGCGTCGAATGACACCGTAACATGAATAACAAACATTTCCTAACTTTGATTTTAACCTCAAAATAAAAAAATATGGGCCAATGGGAATAATAAAATGCTTTAAAAGGTATTTTGGACAAAAAATAATAATAATAAATACCGTTCAGACAACAACCACGACGACTACTCCGGAAAGCTATTTGTACACTTTAGAAATAAGAAATTCTAGGCCAACGTAAATTATTCATTATTATGACAATGTGAATTCTTATAATGTAGAGCTCCCATGCAGTGGGGGAGAAGTTTGCCTCTTTCCTTCAGAATGTATTGGGAATTTGTAAGCTATGAAATAATAGCAGCTACAACGGCAGTGAACCTGCTATGGTATGGCACAATTGACTAAAATTGAATTGTCTGAATTTGGGCAGTGAAGACGAATAGCGCAAGTTGTAGTAGTGTGCGGATGACAACAAGTGCCGTCAAACAGCAACGGAATACCTGTGTGCTATGTCCCGCATAATAATTAGGAAATCGAACTGTATCGATGGCTAAGCAAAAAAAAACCAAATAAATATATAGGACATAGAGTAACGTATAGTTTCGAAATATTAGGCTACTTTCTTGTGATTGCGACTTAAAGAAATTCGATTATTAAGGCAGTGAAGTCGACTGGTTTTACATGCTACGTTTTCAAGTGCGCTAAGTAAGAAATTTGTATCAAAAATCTACGCCTTTTTGGCTGTTGACACTGAAAAAATATTTGCTTAAAAATATACGCATTTGGTGGCTCTTAAAAATACTAAAATAAAATTTAAGCCTTTTGTTGCTCTTGACAGAATAAAAATAAAAAAATCTACCCTTTTTATGGATCCTTACAAAATATTATTTTTATTTTTAATCTACCACCAATATCCACGCATTAGGTGGCTATTTTAAAATATTTATGGGTAGAGACCAAAAATAAATTTAAACAAGCGAAAAAAGCATTAAGTTCGGCCGTGCCGAACTTTGGGTACCCTCCACATGGGTATTCTAACAGACACTTGCAACGAAAATATAGGGAACATACCAAAACGTGGACCTATACCGATAAATCTACAAACCTATTTATGTACACCAACTACAAACTTCAGCAATTGTTAATGTATATTTTTCCTAGAAACCCTAAAATGTGGACCGATATTGACGACACATGGTAGGATGGAAGATCCCCAAAATACTGCAATTTAGAGGTTGCAATTATATAAGATCATCACCAACGTACGCAGGTTTTATTTCGGAAGTGGAAGCTGCAGGGTCAGTATAAAAATTTCATTGCCGAAGAAATGTATATGAATACGTCCCTGAAGGCGATACCAACAGCGGGACCATTATTGATTACATCGTGTAGGAAATACAGAGTTTTTGTAGTTATCATTATATTAAGTGCTATGCCCAATTGAGTATTGATATTGGTCAAAGTCGAAACTAAAATGTTTGCATTACAATAACTTATTTTGCGCTAAATATTAAAAATACCGAAAATCCGGGTTTTAACCCCAATTAACACGAAGTCGGTCGGAAATATATGGGCTAAGTCTGTACTTTTACAAAACAATTAATGCAAAGCAATTAAGTCATTTTATGCTCAATTTTGATCGTGTTTACTTGCAAAGAGGTGATGATGTGAACCTTCGGTTGGCCACCAAAACTCAAGCGCCGGCCATGGTGATGGTGTGGGCCGCCATAACGGCCGATGATAGCTCTTCGCTCGTATTAATCGAATATCATCAGAATAAATGCTGAATGTTATCGCGAAAATATTCTGGAGGGTGTATTAAAGCCTTGGGCACGCAAACATTTTGGCCGCAGACCTTGGGCATTCCAACAGGACCATCCAGGTTACAAAATGAGGTTCCTCGCTTTATTTCCAGCGCACAATGGCCACCAAAATCTCCTGATACCAATCCGTTGGACTATTGTGTCTGGAGTATTTTGGAAAGCAAGGTTAGCACTAAAAAATACCAAAGTGTCGATCACCTCAAGCAGCGCTTCGCCGGGAATGGGCCAAAATACAGCAGACCAACAATCGGGCAGCGTGTGATGGTATCATTGGCCGTTTGAAGGCCATAATTCGCGCCAAAGGAGACCAATTCGAACAAATCTAAACTTATTCTAAAATTTGACGCTATTTCCGGCATTTTTGCTTTCATTAAATAAAATTTAAAAAAAGTAAAAATTATTGCGCTTGACGTTGTTGCAGTTGTTTTATCTCACCCTGTATAGGGGCTTTGGTACAATATTTACATAAAATCGGACGAAAATATATATGGGAACTATATCTAAATCTGAACCGATATTCTCGAAACTTAACACACACAAGATATATAGGTGTACCATTTACATTAAATCGGAAGTGATGTACCATTTACATTAAATCGGACGAAAATATATATGGGAGCTTTATCTAAATCTGAACCGATTTTCACAAAACTTGGCACACATCATTCTGAACCTAATTCAGTACCTTATGCAAAATTACGTATAAATCAAAAGATATATAGGGACTTTGGTGCACCATTTGCATAAAATCGGACAAAACTGTATATGGGAGCTATATGTAAATCTGAACCGATTTTCATGAAACTTGGCACACATCATTCTGGACCTAATTCAGTACGCTATGCCAAGTTTCGTGCAAATCGAAAGATATATGGGTACTTTGGTGTACTTACATCGGACGAAAATAAATATGGGAGCTACATCTAAATCTGAACCGATTTTCACCAATTTCAATAGCGTTCGTCCTTAGGCGAAATATGTGACTTGTGCCAAATTTCATCCAAATCGGATCATAAATGCGACCTGTACTTTGTTTACAATTTAACATCTATAAACGGACGGACGGACATGCATCTTTTGCCTGTTTCAAACATATGCACAAAGACAATACCATTTACCACAGTGTGGTGAAGGCTCCAGGCCTATGTTTAAGCCAGAAAAAAAGCCTATCTCTAGAGTCAGAAAAAATTTTTTAACAAATGCTGGCTTAGAATACTAATGTAGGGTACAGCAAAGAGAAAAATACTACAGGGTTAGGGAAAAACATATTAAAGTAAATTTCCGTATCAAAGTGCCGAGTAGTAGTCGAAATTGACGATGACACACATAAACTCACATAGCAAACTAAACTGAATGAGACTTCCCTTTCGTTTGATGGAACGTGCCTCAATACGGTAACAAGTGTAGTATTTAGTTTTTGGCCATATTATGGCAACTTTAAAGCCAATATGGTTAGTGGTAGCTAACTAATACTGCTGTTGTTGTTGCTGCTGCTGCTGTTTTTGTACACTATATGCTAATAGTAGAAGTTGTCAACAAAGCCACTGCTGGACAATACTTTGATATTTGAATAAATTTTTGATAATGCATTTAAATTTGTTTTTTGTGTTTTTTGTTGGTAAAGAAAAAGCAATAGAAATGTTTAGTAATTGTTGTTAGTGTAGTTGCTGGCTTTTTTGTGAATTATGTTGTGAATAAAATAATAAAAATAGGTATACGCATAAACAACCCGCTAACACTACATTCTTAAAAAGTTAATATTTTGGCCATTGAAATTGTTGTTATGTATGTACGTATGTGCACATACACATATTTACACAAACTTATGCAAATGACCTAAAATTGATTATGGGAGGAGTGGTGGTAGGTGGTGGTGGTCGTTTAACAATATCGGAGGCTTTCTTTTGTTGAATGCTTTTGACAAAGGGAGGGTTTGAGGAGAGGAATTTCCAATTAATTTGTTTCTTCTTCTTCTTCGTCGTCGTTTTAACACTCTTCTGTCTTCTGCATATGTCTAGCGCGTTTGGCTTCTACATATTTGGTCATTGGAAAAAGTGGCTAAACGTATTGCAAAGGTATTTTTTGATTTTGAATTTTTTCGGAGTGTCATCGCATTATAAATACCCACGGTGGACACTTAATCAATCACAAATTCATTTCTTCATTCCAAGCCAACTGTTGTGTGGTGTGTAGTGCCTTGACATTAACAGAAATCAACAAGAAAAAAGATCCTCTGAGATTAATAACGAAAAAAATAAACAAAATATTTTTTAACGATAAAAATATTCTAATTTAAAAATCAATATGTATTCGAAAGTTATTTGTGTTGTCTTCGTGGCCACCTTTGTGTGCGGTGCTGTGGCCTTGCCCAAACAGGATGCCAACGAAAAGGATTTAGTGAACATGATCAATAGAATCGATAATGAACCTAGTGTACCATTGTTCGGTGGCTTGAGCATTGTACGCTCGGAAAATGGTCGTGCCTTTGGTCCTGCTGCTGGCAAATCTGTTGAAACTTTCGAAGAACGCGCTGAACGTTATTTGAAATCTCACCAATTGAACTTCTCCTTCCCCGATACCGATGAAGATGAAGAAGAAGAATCAAATGCCCGTGCTATGGAAGGTGAGTTGTGTGCAAAATAAAAGTATAAAAAATGAAAACAAAAACTACAAAAAAACTGAAAAGACTTTAAGTAAAAATGTGTGAGTGTGTGCAAAATGTAATTAAGAACACTATTAAAAGAATAAAGGAAATCACAAAAAATGTATTATGCAGAATAGAGACAAAAAGCCAAACAAGGAAGCAAACAAAAGAAAATTAAGAAAATTAAAAGGAAATCAAGTTTTGTGTGATGATACCTCAATTTAAAAACAAAAACAAAAAAACTTTTTGAAGTTTTAAACACAAAGGCATAGTTAATTTTGTATGCATTGAATAATTGAAGAGACATGACAATGACATGACAAAAAAGGATTTAAAAAAAGTAAAATCTGTAAAAACTTAAAATGCATTTCCTGCAAGAAGACGTCTCATACAGTGAAACAAAAAAGAAAAAGCTAAAAAATAAGGGTCGATTACATTCTGAACAACAGGATGCAAATCATATACCAATGGTTTTCTATTCTAAATTGCAAAAACAGATATTCGTTCAGCACTTCAATGTGAAGAAGGAAAATATCCTTCGAACAACAACAAAATGCTTGCAGAAGAATAATCCTTTGGGATTTTTATTAATCCTATACAAAAGAATATACAAATTTATCAAGAAATCCATAGATTCCAAAAAAAAATATTTTTAAACCAGTAAGGAAAGTAGTAAAGTCGGACGGGGCCGACTATATGATACCCTTCACCACTATGGGTATATTAAGCAGGACTATAACATAAAATTGGATGAAAAAATGTGATATTTATCTAAATGTGAATCTACCTAGATCTATCCATAAAGTATGTCAATCGACTTCAAACAAATATAAATAGGTCATCCGTTGGGCTATGTCTGCACTTCTAGAAAACGCAACTACGTAATTATATGCTCAATTTTTTAAGTTGTGCAAAATTTGATGTCAATCTGACTAACATGAGGATTTTGATGCCCAATTTACTTGAAATCGGGCGAAAATATATATGGAAGCTCTATCCAAATATTGAGCGATTTCAAACAAACTTGTCACAGGTTAGGTTATACAACTTTCAGAACGTTTTATTCCAATTGGTTCCTTAGTACGTCAATTACTTAAAATCAATCTATAATAAAAGCGAGCTATATCTAAATCTGGACCGATTTTCACGAAACTTGGCAGACATCATTCTAGGCTCAATTAAGTACGTTATGCCAAATTTCGTGCAAATCGAAGGATATATAGGGACTTTGGTGCACCATTTACATGAAATCGGACGAAACTATATATGGGAGCTATATCTAAATCTTGACCTATTTTCACGAAACTTGGCAGACATCATTCTAGACTCAATTCAGTACGTTATGCCAAAATTCGTGCAAATCGGAAGATATTTAGCGACTTTGGTGGACCATTTACATCAAATCAGACGAAACTATATATGGGAGCTATATCTAAATCTGGACCGATTTTCTCCAAACTTGGCAGACATCCCTCTAGGCTTAATTCAGTACGTTATGCCAAATTTCGTTCAAATCAGAAGATATAAAGGGACGTTGGGCACTATTTACATGAAATCGGACGAAACTATATATGGGAGCTATATCTAAATCTGGACCGATTTTCACGAAACTTGGCAGACATCATTCTAGACCTAAATGATTAGGCTGTACCAAATTTCGTGCAAATCGAAAGATATATAGGGACTTTGGGGCACCATTTACATGAAATCGGACGAAACTATATATGGGAGCTATATCTAAATCTGGACCGATTTTCTCCAAACTTGGCATACATCACTCTAGGCTTAATTCAGCACGTTATACCAAATTTTGTGCAAATCAAAAGATATATAGGGACTTTGGGGCACCATTTACATGAAATCGGACGAAACTATATATGGGAGCTATATCTAAATCTGGACCGATTTTCACGAAACTTGGCAGACATCATTCTAGACCTAAATGATTAGGCTGTACCAAATTTCGTGCAAATCGAAAGATATATAGGGACCGTTTACATTAAATCGGTTAAATATATATACGGGAGCTATATCTAAATCTGAACCGATTTTTCCCAATTTCAATAGGGTTCGTCCTTGGGCCGAATAAGTGACCTATGCCAAATTTCATCCAATTCGGATCATAAATGCGACCTGTACTTTGTTTACAATTTAACATGGACAGACAGACGGACAGACGGACAGACGGACAGACGGACGGACGGACGGACGGACATGCATAAATCGACTTAGAAAGTGATTCTATGCATATTCTCAAAAGGAACCATGTGTCTATCTCGTTTCCTTTTGCCTGTTACAAACATATGCACAAAGACATAATACCCTGTACCACAGTGTGGTGAAGGGTATAAAAATCCTCGCCTGTGTATAGTTCCCAAAAACAATATTTTTAAGCCCAAAAAAAATATTAGTTAAAAAGCATCCCTATGTATAGAGCCCAAAAAATATATATTTTAAAAATCCTCGCCTATTTATAGAACCCAAAAATATTTTTTAAAAAAATCCTCGCCTATGCCAAAAAAAAAAATATTTAAAAAAATCTTCGCCTATTTATAGAGCCCAAAAAAACAAATATTTGTAAAAAACACTCGTCTATGTATAGAGCCCAAATATAATATTTTAAATATATTTTGAATTAAATTCTGACCTTGTATCCAGTAGTAGATAATTAAAATTCCTGGAAACTATACAAATGGTGTTTGAGTCAAATAGTCATATATTCGATTTTGCGGTTAACCTCAAAACCAAAATGCTCTTAGGTTCCCAAAATGCTCTTAGGATACTCTGGCTACCTCTACATAAAGATCCATCGACCAGTTAGAAATAAGGCTCCAAATATGTTGACAGGTCTTTATGATTCCCAAAATTCTCTTAAAAGTATTCCCAACTAGGATTATCTGGCTATCTCTACATAAAAATCCATCGATCATCTCCTCCTTTATAATGACTTCAGCTAATCTATATTGATACTCAACACGCCCAAAAATCCAATCATCTCCAATCCAGCTAGTCTATAAAACTGTCTGATCTTCAGATGTTGTATAGGAGATCCAAGGCCTTCAGCTCGTCTACAAATCCTCTCTGACTTTCAGAACTAAATAAATTTTGAATTAAATTCTGACGTGTATATAAATTTAGACATGATACTGCTTCTATTTTAAATTCCAAACAATTTAAATCTCTCCACCTTATTGATTGCTTCTACAAAACCAAACATATAAATTTCCCAAAAATAAATTGTTCACACTTAAGATTTTGGGAAATATTTGCATCTGTTCCAAGTTCATGCAATTAGGGGGTTCTGCAAAATCCTCTTCCACACACAAACTAAGATATTTAGCAAATATTTGGAAATTATTTCCTTCCTTCCTAAATTCATCACATGCAGGCATTATTACATTGATTTCCTCACACCTCTCATCTATCCATAATAAATATTTGTTGTCGTTGTTATTTTCATTACGAAAATTTCACTTCACTTTCAATAGATTGTCTGATTTTGAGAAATCATTCTTCAAAAATCAACTCACGTAAATATTTGAAGCATTTTTGTGTTTGCTTTGCCTTTTAACGGCAAATCAGACTCACAAACACACACACACACACCGTTAGTCATTCATTCGAGTCAGTCAGTCAGTTTAGTCGTCACTTGTTCAGTTCACTACTCAATGCCTGTCTGTAGACCTTTAAAAAATTGACTGGCTGGATAGCCGAACTGTATGGCATTGCGTTGTTTTGTTGCGCTACATTGCACGTACACACAGCAAAATTTTTCTGTGACATTATGTTGAAAGTATAATAACATGGCTTGACTTTCTCTAGGGGATCTCTAATAGTATGGGCAGGGGGGTGGTGGTGGTGGCGGTTTAAAAACCCTAGGCACGTACTTTTTTTGTTTTGGCTGTACAACATCGTTGTTCAATTGCTTCCGCAATCATAAAGGTTTAGTGTGTATGTGTGTGTGTGTTTTTTTTTTTTTTTTTTTTGGGAAAAATATTTGTACACAATCTGAAAAAAATGCCTAAAATTTTGTGAGTATTGAACACTTACACCTCTAAATAATAGTAACATTACTTTGTAGGGGGATAGGGGTGGCTATAGCTACTGAATGTTCCGTAAAGAAAAGAAAAATATTTTTATTTATTTTTTTTTAAGAAATACACACTAAAATAATTCCTGTGAAGCTCTTTCTTTCGAACCCACAGTAAAATAAACTCTAATATTTCCGAGAGATTTGAATCGATTTATTTCCTATCCTACCAATTCAAATATGCTGTTGCTGAACAATAATATAAATCCTCGTGTTCTTCCCCCGAATATACAATTTTAAATAAAATCTGATTTTTAAACATTTATGTAACTTTCCACATAATTTTCTATTTTAATTTCAAACTATTGTAATTCATTTACACACACACACATGTATATATGCCAAAGTTTCCACCTTTGCATAAAATGTCCAAAGAAACAATCTTTTAAAATTAGAAAGTGAAATTAGCATTGAATTACTTCCATAGGCCTTAATGGCCATAAATATTAACACACACGCACACAAACACCTTCTTACATATGTAAATTCATATTACATGAGAGATTTTATGTGGATGTGTGTTTGTAAACATGACTTACCTGTAATTAAGCAAAGATTTATTACAGCTGTTCTACAAGTTAGATTACATTTTTCACTTCCGGTTTGCAAATTGAATAGAAATTTTAATAATGACATTGTTAAAATTAAATAATTAAATAATAGTCTGCAAATAGTAGTATTTGTTGTTGGTTTTGTTGTATCCAGTAGTAGATAAGTAAAATTCCTAGAAACTATGCAAATGGTGTTTGAGTCAAATAGTCATATATATTCGATTTTGCGGTTAACTTCAAAACCACACAAGTGCAATAGTGTGTGTGTGTGTCACTGACATACAGTAGACACACAAGCACAAAATTTCACATACACAACTTGCAGCTTCAATGCTAATAAATTAAACCAAAATCCATAGCGTAATATCAACAATATTTTAAGAAAAAAAAAAAAAATAAAATTTAGAAACAAGGCTCCAAATACCTTAACAGCTCCTTCTATTCCCAACTAGGATTCTCTGCCTATCTCTACATAAAGATCCATCGACCAGTTAGAAATAAGGCTTCAAATATGTTGACAGGTCTTTATGATTCCCAAACTTCTCTTAAACGTATTCCCAACTAGGATTCTCTGGCTATCTCTGCATAAAGATCCATTGACCATCTCCTCCTTCAGCTAATCTATATTGATACTACGTAATATCAACATCGATATCGAAAAGGAAGTCCAATCATCTCCAATCCAGCTAGTCTATAAAACTGTCTGATCTTCAGATGTTGTATAGGAGATCCAAGGCCTTCAGCTCGTCTACAAATCCTCTCTGACTTTCAGAACTTCTAAAGGTCATGATTTCATTCACCTCTCTTATATAGTACAGCAGATCATCCACAAAGACTCCATGTCTTCCAGTCGTCTGTAAATATTACGTGTCACCCACCCAGTTTATAGAAACTGCCTGACCTGACAGCTCATATCCTGGCCTTTAATTCTTCTATAAGGACACCCTTGTCTTTCGCACTTTTGCAAAGGCTCTACAGCCTACTACTTTTCTATAAAATTTACCCACCATCTCCTCCAAAAACACTCCTCGGCCCTAAGCTAGTCAAAGAAGTCTTCCTGCTCTAGCTCGTCTTAGACTAGTCCCTACTTCAACTCGTCGAAAAATACTCCATGATTGAGCTAATCTAAAAGCCCCCTGTTTCAGCTTGTCTATAATAACACTCTGCTTTAGGTCGCCAAAAACGACGCCATGTCTCAGCTCGTCTAAAATAGTAAATGACCTCCAGTACTATTTGATTAAAGACTTAAAAGGGTTTCCTATCCTCAACTTGTCTAAAAAGTGTACCTGACTCATGCCCTTTAAAATGACACCCTTTCTTCAATTCTCCCAAAAAAGTGTCAATGTTTTTAGGTAATCAAAAAAGACTTCCCGCTTCAGCTAGGCTATAAGGAATCCGCGGACTTCAGACCATTTCAAGTCGTTTATACATTTCCTTGGTCTTCAACCCTATAAAGAATCTCAGATTTGTTTCCGATTCCTGAAAACTTGGGAACTTTATAATTAACCCCGCTTAGTGTAAACATATGAGCATCTACTCCCCATTTCAGTCTATCAAGGCTCCCAGCTCTTCAGACGATATACAAGACTCACTTCACTATCAAATTCATTGATATTCAATTCTAAAAAAGTTGGCTTCTAACCTTTATAAATATTCACCGATTTAAAAATTCCCGTTTCTGATTTCTTAAACACTGGTAACCCTATAATAAACCCAGGTATACTGTTAACATTTAAGCTTCTGCAACCAGTTAACAAAAAATACCTGATTTACACCATATTCAGCTCTTTTAAAGAGATACCCAATTCTTCGTCGTCAACAAAGACTCCCCGCTCGTCTAAAAAGACTTCCAGGTCTTAAGACCACCTACAAGACTCTCTTCAACTCGTCTATAATATTCCTTGATCTTCTTTGGCTTGATCTTCATCTCTATATAAATTCACAGCTTTGGTAATTCCCATTCCCTTTCCAATTTCCTAAAAAACTGGTAACCCTATAACACACTCAGCTTACTCTTAACATTTAACCTTCCGACAGATTCCAAACTTTTTTATTTCCCATTCTATTTCCCGATTTCTTAAAATCTGGCAACCCTATAAAACACTCAGCTTACTATTAACATTTAAGCGTCTGCCACAATTTAACGTTAAAAGCCTCACTTACATTTAAAGCACACTTTAAGCTTTAAAACATACAAACATAGCATACTTTCAGGCTTAACTCAAAAATAAAACTAAATTTCCATTTTCTTTTTTTTCACAATATTCCTTAGCAGAACCCCGCAGCAAGAAAATGAAGAAGATGTTGGTCCCCTTGCTCTTGGCTTTGAAATTGAAGAAGGCCGTTATCGTTAAGGTTCTCTTCATGATCATTAAATTCATTTCCCTCAAGAGTTTGGCTATCTCTTTCTTGGCTCTCTTCTTCGCTGGTAAGTGTTGAAAAAAACTCTCCATCTCAAAACAGATATCAAATTAACTACCTCTTTTCTTCTTCAGGTGCCACTTTCTTCAAGGACTTGTTGAGCAAGAAGAAGGAACACATCACCACCGCTTACATTACCGGCAGTCCCTTGAACGCTGAAATCGTTCACTCTGACTGGAACCGCAATGGTCAAGCTGCTGCTTCTGAATTGGCCTACAATCACTACGGTTTGGCTCAACCCTTCTAAGCTGTCTACTTCTTCGTCTATCCCCATCTAAAATTATGCCTCCTGCCTATACTTTCTACTCTACTATCATTCTCTCTATCTATCACACTCTTATCTCTTACTCTCTCTCACTCTCTATACAACTAGGGAAAAAGTGTACAACAAGACTAAATTTCCATATTTAGTTTTAGTAGTTAGTTAAAAATCTATTTTTTTTAGTTAGATTTCCTTGCTATAAACCAAAAATCAACAAATTTTCCCCCCACCTTCCCCTAAAACCACTACCATAACGACCCATGGCTCTTGAAAACTTTGGACTACTCCTGTTCCAATTAATGAAAAACAAAACTTCATTTCATTTGTTCATCATTATGAAAAGTAATTTATTTCATTTCCATTATAAATCATCATCATGCTGTGGCACCAACTGGAACTTGGTGTCAACGTTTTCATGGTATTTTTTTAGAAAGGCTACAACGGTGTCCTTCTTGTTCTTCGAAAGGAAAATATTTAAATTTGAGTGTGAATTGCTGTTTAGTTGTATTTTTTAATGAATTACTAAGTCGATATTTATTATGATGTTAACTTGTTAGCAAAAACAACAAATATGTATATAATTTTGTATATTTGTTTGTTTGTATGTTGATATTCTATATTTAACAACACTCAGGTTGTATTTCATCATTATAATATGCTAAAGGACTTCTGATTTTTTTTTACACTTCTCGATTGCCTCTCTTCGTAACACGGAAGGATGTTAATAGTCTGATAAATTTGCCAGAGAACAAAAAACCAAAACAAAACAACAAATCACATAATTTATTTTTCATTAATTATAAGTATTTATAAAAACAAAACAAAAAAAACTAGAAAAAAAAAATCAACAAAAAAAGTATTTAATTACAAACATGAAACAACAAACTTAGCAAACTGAATAAAAGTTCATTTAAAAAAGCAATTTATAATTTTTAGTGTTTTAATTTGTTTAAATACCTTTAAGGATTTTAAAGGATTTAAAAGTGTTGTGCAGTTACATAGAAATTAAAGTTTACAAATTAAAAAAAAAAGTTATAAATTAAATGAATACATTTTTAAAAATTAAAAAACAAAAGGAATAATTGCAACAAATAATGTTTATCGCCAATATAAATATATAAAAATATTATGGAATAACGTTGTTTAATGAAAATGAAGAAATGTTTTCGGTTTTTCTGGTCGCTCTACAGGCCACAATTATGACCCAAACATCACGAAATTGTTTACTGACGATGGATATATTCAAATTTGTAAAATTACTGGCAATTCGTTTGGAACAATATGACTATGTCATTGGGGCAATATGTACATGCGAGGTCTGGTCAAAAAATATCCGTTATATTCAAATTTTGAGAGTTGCGCATGTTCAGTTTTTGCATTTCTGAAGTGTTTCGAGGATTGGAAATGAGTACCCAATTAGAGCAAATTCGATTAAAAACACAATACCAAAGAATATGGAGTACCGTTATATAGGAGCTATCATAAAAAGTGGACCGATGTCGATTTATTGGTTTGGAGATTTGCTAAACAATGGGAACTCAAAATTCAAAATTACAACTAATTCGGTTTAATACGTACTCAACATCCCCAAAATACCCAATAAATGGGTACCGGCATATTGCACGGTTGAACAATACTGATCCACATACAACATTTCCAGACTTAAGCCTATCTTCTAGGCATTGACTGCTATATTTAGTAAATGTTCTTACTTGCACACCTGACCAACATACAAAAATTTTAAATCACAGCTTTAATCATTTAGCTTGGGTATTGGTTTCATTGTGACACAAAATCGAGGTCATAGCTTGGGGATTGGAAAATTCCTTATGTGGGTGAAAGCCCATGCCGAGTATAATTAGAATCCTTTTTACACAGTTCTTTCCCAGTCAAATGCAAACAGTAATAGATTTTGAATAAATTGAAAGATTTCTCGGATAATTCTGTAAGTCGCAGTCTTCGCATGCTTGGGGCTGCATACACCCCATCATCTACTAGTCCTAACATATATTTACACATACATTTTAAGACCAGGGCTGGCTAACCGTTCAGACGGTTCTACACTCCACCCCAAATGATTCGTTCTCGCACCCCTTTCTACGTATCGGAAATTTACAAAGCACAGATTAAAAATTGTACAGCAGGAGGGTTGGAGTTATACAGATTTCGTTAAGTATATTGCTTCCGTACTAGGAAATGGCTCGCTAGATTCTACACTGATATCCTTTACTCAAGTCATATCCCGGGCTCCTTAAAAAAAATCAAAAGTTATTCCCATACTCAAACCAGACAAAAACCAGGCCTCAAGTTACCTATACTTAGCCAAATTGATGAGGCAATAGAAAAGTTTATCCCACCTTAACAAGTTGGCATTAGAAAAAGAAAGAAACTACAATTATCAAGTGTTAACGCAAAAATACTTCATAGAAAATGACAAACACTGAGGTGTTATTCGTCGATCTTTTGTGAAAATTTTTACAACTCTTAAAGATATAGCAGATTTATTATGTTTGCATCAACCGACGGCGAGGGTGCTTCTCAAACTTTAAACGCGCTTTTCTCCAACCATTGCTTTTACGAATGGCGGGTACGATTACTCAAAAACCAAAAATCCAATCGCATCCAAATTTTGACACGCTTCTCTGTGAGTATATAGCTAGAGAAAAAATGTTCAAAGGTCCGCCACGTGGTTTATTTTTTGTTTGTTAATTCATACGAAATCCAGACATGTACTCTTTCTAATGCCGTTGGAACTTTCGGATTCCGATGTTCCTGTGAGAAGTTATCATGCCCGCCATCAAAAATAAGGACTTTTCTTTAATCACAAAAAGAAAAAAAAAAACACAAACAATTTTGTAAATAATTTTTTTTTCTCTTTTAAATCTTCAAATGTACAATGTTAGAAATCTTAACAAGTTTTGGAATTGATTTACCAGCCCATTGAACATCTTGAAAATTTAAAATAAAAATGAGGGGATAAGAAATTGAAGTGAATTCCTATAAATAATAAATCATAGCTTCATGTTAAAACTAATTATTTATTAATAAAATATTTAAGTTTTAAAATTAAATTAAATATTTTGAGAAATAAATATCTGACTTTATCTTATTTCATATTTCCGTTTAGTAGAAACTTCAATATTATATCTCCTCGAAGACCACATTTTTATTGTTCATCTACACAACAACCACACTTCTTAACAACTGCTTGCCTGATGGTTCAGTACTAACTCCTGCACTTTTCAATCTTTACATCGACGAACATCCTCTCATTCATTTACGCGCTCGATATGGCCTCCGTAAACTCGATGTGTCTAATTTTGGAAAAAGGCTTAGAGAATAATCCATCAGTAATTTCATTCTATTGTCCTAGATAAAGACTTAAATCTATCGAAAACCGAATTGTGTTAGTTCCCTGTCGTGCAAATTGATACGAGTACAAACAATAAACAAATTTCTACCACATTGTGTTACAGGATATTATGTCTTTGTGCATATGTGTATAACAAGTAAAAGGAAACGAAATAGACCCATAGTTCATTTTTATAATATGCATAGAATCATTTTCTGAGACGATTTATGTATTTTACGGTTATTATAAAAGTGTTTATTTCGGTTGCTGTGGATGTTGAAAACTAGGATTCGCTGTTGTTTGAAGTTATGTAAATAAGGCCCGAAATTATAACATGGATGATAGTAAAACGTACATTTGGAAAGGCAATATTTTATACTTGAAGTAAACTGTAAATTTTCATCAAATGAATATTAACTATTGTATACGCCATAAAAATGAATTTTTCAACACCCATTTTATGGGAGGTATACCAAATTTTGGTCTGATCTATGCAGTTTTTTTGTCAGTTACTTTATAAGTAAATGTAAACAGTTAATATTCATTGAATTTAGTGAATATTAACGAGCCAATGAGTGAAATTTTCAAGACCCATTATATGGGAGGTATACCAAATTTTGGTCCGATCTATCCAATTGTTTGCTCTCTAGGCCAATAATAAGAACTTGTACAAAATTGCATCCAGCTACGATAACTCCTTCTAATTTTGGCCGTTGGTTATATGAACTCGCGACATAGAGCGTCGTAAATAAATTTAATAAAATTTTTCGAACAAATTTTTTTTCAGCGATGAAGAGCATTTTTCACTCAATTAATTGATAAGACACCATTACATCCAGAAAACGTCACTTTTTATAGTGCACTTTGGTCCAAGACTTAGATTTGATGTTACTTCTTTGAAAACGACGATGGATTGACTGCCACCGTCAATTCTGAGCGTTATGGTCATATTATAACCGAATTATTTTGCCACCTAATGCAGTTTGGAGAATATGTGGTTTTAATATCGGTATCACATGCCACACAACTCGAACGAATATGGCTTTATTTGCAAGAGATATTTCCTGGTCGCGTTCTTTCGACGTGGTGTTTTTTTTATTTTATGTGCCTTCAATTATAACTCCTCAAAAATTTTGTAGAAAATATATTAACGACGGCCTAGACACGGCCACATAATTATCCAAATAAAAAAAATTTTGTTCGGACATCATTGCATATATTGCAATATCTAAAGAGCAGATTTTAATTTCAATAATATTTATATTTCTTATTCAGGTAAATATCTTCATTATTTAATAGTACTCTGTCCAAAAATACTTAAATTACTGTTATATAATAAATATTTCATAATGTTTTGTCTGGGCAACTATGATTACATTTTGCAATCTATCGCATTTTTTCACTTTCATGACAATGAAAATATTCTAAGGTCCAAAATACAAGTGACATTATAGCCATTGTCAACCGAAACGTTTATAAAATGTTAGGGTTCAACATTAATTAGTTTTGCATGAGAAGCTTTCATGAAAATGAAATTGTTTTTCTCTCACACGAAAATGTACAATGTCCATCGGCAAACAGTCGTCCATATTCATGTAGTGTAATATCTGTCTATGTATTAGCGTGGACATTGTACCAACTATGTTAGTAGATTTTTCCCGCTTTATTTCGGGGAAAGTGAATTTGGGGTGGTTTGAAAATAGTGAAAAAAAATCTGTTTTACTTTCGTTACCTTCAATGAAAATATGAAAGATTGTGGTGATGTTTTGGCCACACTTGACTGAATTTTATATTGAAGCTTTTCGAAATTGAGGAAAATGTCGCAACCGAATAAAAAACTATTTGCATGGCTTCAAATAGATGAGAGAGGGGGCAATAAAAAAAAATCAAGTGAGATTCTTCATTTACACAAGTGATGAAGAATCAGGGAGAAAAAACAGCAACCAAATAAAAAAATATCTATTTTGACCACAACATCTCATTAAAATAAATTTCTTTTCAATGGGTGACTTACAGACTCGTACCTAGTGGTGGATCTATGGTCAGTTTTGTAGTATAAATGGAAAATGTCATCAAACACGAAACATTAGTTACAATCATAACATCATCTTGGCAACAACATTACCAGCTTATCATCAACAAAATTTGGATAACCAAAAACAACAAATTCTATTATAATGCAGTCACCATGGAAAACTTTGGAGTATCTATTTTATTTGGGAATTTTCATACTATTGCTGAAATTTTCTGAAAGTGCCAGTGTTGATGTTGCCACCACAACCGAAAGATCTCTGAAAGATAATAGATCGAGTGTTAAACAAACTCTAGAGGAGTGCAATACATCATTCAGTTGGATATGTTTAAAAATTGAATTTGTGAAAATTCTGGAATATCTAACGGAACGTGACGAATTACGTCTATTGAATGGCATTAGTTTGGTGAAAGATCCTGAGGCGAATGAAATTAAAACTTCGGAATTAATGGCTGGTAAGTTGACATTATATTTTTTATTTAAATATACATTGGGTGCACATAAGAACATGAATATTAAAAATTAAAGTGGACAGTCCTTGGGTCCTAAACATGTGATATGAAGGGATATATTTGGATCAAACCAGGAACAAAAACAAATCGGTTTGTATTACCTGCCAGGATGAATTTTATCCTCTGGGAAAACAAAAATGGGGTGTATCCTTTATATGCGGTTCAAAATTTCGAAGGTGGATAGTGCCATTAATTGGGGCATATGTACACTCTTATATCTTACATAATCCTTCGAAAATATTAATTTAAACAAATTTAAATATTCATGATGTACGGACCGAACTTTGTATATCCTCGATCATGAGGTGTACGTTCCAAATTTTAGAAAAGGTTGAAACCTTCATGTGTAATATATGCTGTCTGCTAGTAGGCTGCTTGTGCTCAGGAAAAATAAAATTCTGTAAAACTGGACTAGGAACTTCAATGTATGGAAAAAAATACTTATTTTGAAATTCATTAGGTGGAGAACTTCAACGTATCGAAAAGTGAGGGAGTAAATATTAAAACCAAATACCAATCTCGAAAATTTTCTGGGGAGAAATTGCTTATTCACAAAGAATCTGCCCTGATGTTCCTTCAAAAAATGTTATTTAACCAGTGAGCGGAGCAGTATAACCGGATGGGGCCGACCATACGATGCCCTACGCAACTACCACCCTATTTAATTTTACACCGAAAAGTTTTGTCTGAATTGATCCTCTGAATATTCACCGATCAGTATCAAAACAGTCCTTCTAATGAGTTTGCCAGATTCCTTTCCTCACGGACAAGTTTGTGGCGTCTAGAGCGATACAAAAATTAAGATTCGGTTCTTTTCGTCCACAACCACATGACAATTTTCCGCCATCTAGTGTGGTAATGATAATTCTAAACAATATCAGAATACACAGAGACCTGTAAATATCCTACATGCAAAATTTCGAAATGATTAGTTCATAAATGTGGCCTGTATCATGTTTACAAATTATAATGGACAGACGGACAGACACAGGTCTAGAACTACTCAGTTAGTCAAGATACTTAATGACTGGTCTAGGACCACCACCCTGTCAACATAGTTGACACGCTTTTCGTGGACCTTTATAGCTCTCATGTTCCTTTAAAAATATTCTTTAAGAATCCACGCTTATAGCTCTCATTGACCTTTGAAAAATATTCTTTAAAAATCCACACTTATAGCTCTCATGGACCTTTAAAAAATATTCTTTAAGAATCCACGCTTATAGCTCTCATGGACCTTTAAAAATATTCTTTAAGAATCCACGCTTATAGCTCTTATGGACCTTTAAAAAATATTCTTTAAAAATCCACGCTTATAGCTCTTATGGACCTTTTAAAAATATTCTTTAAAAATCCGCGCTCATATCTCTCATGGAATTTTAAAAATATTCTTTAAAAATCCGCGCTTATAGCTCTCATGGACCTTAAAAAATATTCTTTAAGAATCCACGCTTATAGCTCTCATGGACCTTCAAAAAATATTCTTTTAAAATCCGTGCTTATAGCTCTCATGGACTTTTAAAAATATTCCTTAAAATTCCACGATTATTGCTCAGATAGACCTTAAAAAAATATTCTTAAAAAATCTGCGCTTATCGCTCAGATGGACCTTTAAAAAGTCTTTAAAAATGCAAACATATCGCTCAAATGGACATTTAAAAAATTCTTTAAAAATCCACGTTCATCGATCCAATGGCCTTTGAAAAATATTCTTTAAAAATCAACGCTATCGCTTCCCTGTTTTTAGCTCTTATGAACCTTTAACAAATATTCTTTAAATATCCGCGCATATAGATGGGCCTTAAAACATCTTTGTTGAGAATCCACACTAATAGTTCATATTTATCTTGCAAATCCATAATTTTTTGCAACTCTTAAATAAATATTTTATATACCATTTATTAATACGATTTTTATAGCAAAATATTTATCACATTAAACCAATAAAAATTCGATTTATTTCTAACATAAAATCAATAAAATATCTAATAAAATTTCCCCTTTTCAGATGTAGCACGCAGCTACCCAAATGATCCGAATGCCCGGATAAATGGTTTTATTGTTAACAAAATCAACAATTTCCTGCAAACACATTATTTACGCTTTAAATTGATTGATGATAAGACGGTAATGCAAGCCAGATCTATGGTGGAGACGGGACGCAAGGATAAATTTGGTAAAAAGGGCGGTCTGGAAATGTTACTGGCTGCCGGTCTAATGATGAAAGGTATGAGTCACTGAACCCAACTACACATGATAATAATCATAACAAAAAACTTAATATGAAAAGTTATATTAAATTTAAAAATTTTATTTCTCAACATCACTTACAGGCACTCTCATGGCCATGGGTATGGGTGGCATTGCTTTGATGGCCGGCAAGGCATTAATGGCCGGTCTCATGGCTCTGACATTATCCGCAGTAATTGGTTTGAAAAGTTTGGCCGGTGGCGGTGGCAAATCCCACACATATGAAATTGTAACAAAACCAATTTACACTTCAAGTCATACACACTCGGGTGGACATGACGATGGCCATATTGGACATGTCGGACACAGTGGCAGTGGCTATGCTGGATATGGACGTTCATTAAATTTGAATTTACCTGCAAGTTTAAAGGAGAAGAAATTCGATTAAAACAAAGTCTGGAAAGTGACATATGAGGGCGTACAAAAAAAACTACTGAACTGAATATTTAATGTGTAATGTAATTTATTTATTTAATAGAGTAAGATATTTATTTTGTCATGCAACGAAAATTAATAAAATATGAATAATGTATTTAAATTAAGAGGTGTTTTATTTGAAGAGAAATCAAAAAAATTAAAAAAATAAATGAAGAAAATTAAAGAGAGTCCAACGAAATAGGAAAAAATGAGAGTGAGAGAATTGTAATTTACACAAAATGCAAATCCACGCTTACTGCTGTGATATCCCCTGAAAAATATTCTTTCAAAAATCCACTCTTGTTGTTGATTTTTATTGTCTATGTTTATTTGTCAGATATCCCCTGAAAAATATTCTGCAAAAAATCTATGTTTATTTGTCAGATATCCCCTGAAAAATATTCTGTAAAAAATCCAGATATCCCCAGAAAAATATTCTGTAAAGAATCCACGCTTATTTGTCAGATATCCCTTGAAAAATATTCTTTAAAAAATCCACGCTTATTTGTCAGATATCCCTTGATAAATATTCTTCAAAAAAAAAAAAAAAAAAAAAACAAACACGCTTATTTGTGAGATATCCCTTGAAACATATTCTTTAAAAATCCACGCCTATTGTGCTGATAGACGTTGAAAAATATTCTTTAAAAAGCCACGCTTATTGTGCTGATATCCCTTGAAAAATACTCCTTAAGAACTCCACGCTTATTGTGCTGATATCCCTTGAAAAATACTCCTTAAGAACTCCACGCTTATTGTGCTGATATCCCTTGAAAAATACTCCTTAAGAACTCCACGCTTATTAAGCGGACATCCCTTGAAAAATACTCCTTAAGAACTCCACGCTTATTAAGCGGACATCCCTTGAAAAATACTCCTTAAAAACTCCACGCTTATTAAGCGGATATCCCTTGAAAAATACTCCTTAAAAACTCCACGCTTATTAAGCGGACATCCCTTGAAAAATATTCTTTAAAAAATCTACGCTTATTGTGCTGATATCCCTTGAAAAATATTCTTTAAAAAATCCACGCTTATTTGTCAGATATCCCTTGAAAAATATTCTTTAAAAATCCACGCTTATTTGTCAGATATCCCTGGAAAAATATTCTTTAAAAAATCTACGCTTATTTGTCAGATATCTCTTGAAAAATATTCTTTCAAAAATCCACGCTTATTGTTGTGATATCCCTTGAAAAATATTATTTAAAAAATCCACGCTTATTATTCGTATATTCCTTGAAAAATATTCTCTAAAGAATCCAAGCTTATTGTTGTGATATCCCTTGAAAAATATTCTTTAAAAAAATCCACGCTTATTGTGGTGATATCCCTTAACAAAATCCACGCTTATTGTTGTGATACACCTTAAAAATGTTTAAAATATCCAACGGTTTCTTGCTACGTTCCACCCTATGTATCAAATCAAAATACGTAAATTAATAGTAATTAGTCTAGACACAGTCCATGTATACTCTAGATGTAGTAAAAATTCGCCACTGAATGTGTTAATTTCGAAACTAATTTAATTAATTGTTAACTTTCTTCGTAACTTACTTTCATTTTATTTGCTAAAACAAAAAACTACTGTCATTTAGAATATAAAAGTCTTGCGATTTTTTACTTAGTTGTCATTTAGTTCCAAAATTTTATATCAAACTCATAATTCACAAACAAATAATAAAATGTCGAATTCATTTTTCACATCAAAATATTTAATTGGTATTGTAGTGTTTGCTTGTCTCTTGGGATGCATACCGCAGACTCAGAGTATGCGAATGCCAACCATGGTAAGGACACATCAAATGTTATATTGGGATATTTTCCTGAATTTTGCTTCGGTTTCAGGATGAATTGGTGAGAGCAGCTAGACAAACGGATATGGAACAATCTACAACAGCAGCCACAACTACAACAATGACCACAAGTACAAGTGCTCAACCAACGGAATCCACTACAACGACAACTAGTGTCCAACCGACGGAATCCACAACAACAACAACCACTACAACAACCACTCCAGCTCCCACAACTGCAAGTACCCAAACAACCGTATCCACCACAACAACCACTACGACAACCACTCCAGTTCCCACAACTGCAAGTGCCCTAACAACCGTATCCACCATTACTGCGAATAAGAAAGGCGAGCACAAATTTTTAATAAAATTAAATGAGAAGGTGACTCTCGATACGATTGCTGTAACACCCGACAAGAAACTTACTATTTTAATCGGTAAGAAACCTTTGATTACGAAATTTACCGACTTTAAAGCCAAAAAAGGTCCTATCAAGAAGCTGATTGATGCTGAGAAGAAGAAGGCAGAGGCAGCAGTCATTGCAGCTGCAGCAGAAGCTGCCATGGCAACAAGTTCCGTTGCTACACCAACAGCTGTGGGTCGTGAAGCCGAACCGATAAACGAGACTGATGAAGATGACGTTAGTAGTGAAGAATTGACCACTGAGACAATGGAAGAAATGGTCACCGAAACACTAGAAGAAATGGCTAATGTGACCGTTAAGGAAGTGGCCAGCGAGAAACTAGCGAAGATGTAATTGAAATCAATATTTATTATAATTTTTATTTATTTTAATATTTATTCTATTTATTTATTTTGAAAATTATCAATATATGTGGTATGGTATTCAATTTTAGCCAATACTGTCATATACAAAAGGTTTAAATAAAATGTATTGCATATCTTTAGGAGGCTTAACTATTTGTGTGTATTCAATGGGAATTAGCGTTGCCACTTGTTTTCTTTAAGAGTCAATATTGGTCGAAAGCAATGCGATCACAAAAGGCCAATATAAACGATCATTTTTCAAGGCATATCACCACAATAACCGTGGATTTTTTAAAGAATATTTTTCAAGGGATATCACCAAAATAAGCGTGGATTTTTTAAAGAATATTTTTCAAGGGATATCTGACAAATAAGCGTGGATTTTTTAAAAAATATTTTTCAAGGGATATCTGACAAATAAGCGTGGATTTTTTAAATAATGTTTTTCAAGGGATATGTGACAAATAAGCTGGATTTTTTAAAGAATATTTTTTAAGGGATATCTGACAAAAAAGCGTGGATTTCTAAAAGAATATTTTTCAAGGGATATCACCACAATAAGCCTGGATTTTTTAAACAATATTTTTCAAGAGATATCTGACAAATAAGCGTGGATTTTTTAAACAATATTTTTCAAGGGATATCTGACAAATAAGCGTGGATTTTTTAAAAAATATTTTTCAAGGGATATCTGACAAATAAGCGTGGATTTTTTAAACAATATTTTTCAAGGGATATCTGACAAATAAGCGTGGATTTATTAAACAATATTTTTCAAGGGCCAACTGAGGCGTGGATTTGTTAAACAATATTTTTCAAGGGATATCGGATCAAGAAGCGTATCATGTTACTCGTATGTATACTTCCTCATTCAGAGTTTTACTCAAATTTGTCACTCCTTCCTCATACATTTCACCACAATGTTATGATAAAATCGCAACGAAACCAGCGGTAATTTTATGGCTAGAATCACGAAAAACCCAGAAACAGAAAACAACAACCCAGTTCTGCGTTTTACACATGAAGTGATGATTTCGAGAAAAACAAATGTAGAATTTGAGAAAGACTGGCAGTTTCATAAAAGCATTGAAAGCAACCAAACCTGTGTCAAGTGTTTAATTTTTGCCGGTTCTGTTTTTTGTGTTGTGGATGTTTTCAGAAAGAAGAAACCAAACAACGCAAAAAAACACATCATCAACACCCATCAAAAACGCATTCTCAGAAAAAAACAGTCAAGTGAAAAATTGTAAGAAAATAAATAATATTTGTGAGAGAGAAAAAAGATTAAATTAAAACAAAGAATAAAAATTAAAACATAGTTTAAAAACAAAGCATAAAAGCAATTGTGAATAAAAATAACAAAACAAAAGCCAAATATTATGAATGAAATGTGAGAGGTTGGTATAAATTGAGAGTTGTTTCTTTCCATTGCTGTACAAAAAAAAAAAATAATAATAACAAACAGATGTGGCGTCTTCAAAAAGGCTTATACACAAGCCTTCTCTTTATTACTTCATTTAATATTGTGTTGGAGGTTCGTTGTTGTTTAAATGGCGGAAACATACATCTATACCTTTAAACAACCAGTTGTGTTTTGATTAATTGTCGTTGGTAATATGTAGAAGAACTGTTATTTTTTTCTAAATGGTTAGTGAAACAGTTTACTATTATTACGAAAATGTATTTAAAAGGTAAAATGATAGGTGGTGAATATCAGAGACTTAAAATTTCTGAGTGAAATAATCGAAACATGACAACTTCCTAGTACCGATGTCGTTTGGAATTTCTTATATCCTAGAAGAGCTTATCGTGTGATTTATTATTGAAACTATATGGAAGGAAGAAATACCTCTTAGACAGGATCTTTGTCAGTCTTTGAGACGGAAAAACTCTAAATTATAAACACTTTAGTTCGATTATACGGACTTTGTCCTCCTGTTAATTCCACAAAGCATTGCCATCTTATACGATGAGTTATTGTGTTAGTTTCTTTAATATTTGTTTTTTCTTTACTCCAAATAAGTAGATGATTGCTCTGATGTAGCCTACCTCAGGTGAAAAGGATACCATCTATCGTTGTCTAAAAACAACACCTCCTTGAATTTTGGGCAGTGATTGGGATTTTTTTGCCATTTTCCTCTAGATGGCGCTATCGACTTCCTTTCTAATCTGTATCCACATGTGTCGATATTAATGGTTATTAGAATGTCAGATCTGGCTCTGGATGCGTTTCATTCAAATATGGAGCCAAACATCTTCCTAAAAATATTCAAAACCCGCCTTGAAAACACTTGCTTCCCCTTTACGGGGATTCGATTCCAGTGTCCAACGATTTGTTGTCTGGCGCACTATCCAATGCACAATTCCAGAAAAGACCTTAAATTTTGTATATTTAAGGAGGGTTAAA